GTATCAGGTGCTTGTATCATCCACCCAAGTCTGCCAATCACTACTAATACTGCTACACCTACACATCTACTACGACTACTACTACTATACCCTCTTATTAGTTTCGCAAACAGTTTTTGGTAATAGCCATTTCAAATAGATAGCTTTAGATCCCGTACTATTTTCAGACACCAAACAAAATAAGATAGTTTCAGTGTAATTTTATGGGGATGTCTTGAGAGCTGTGAAATCTATAAACATGTTTGTGTGTGGCATGTGTGGGTGTTTTAAGTACTCACAGTTCCTCCAAGAAGTGTAAATTGGAAAAGTCTCCACTGGACAACGAGGTCAGATTATTCATGCTCAAATCCCTGCAAAAGAAAAATTCTGGTTAAAATTTTTAATTTGAGCCTTTATTTATTTATTTTTTTTAACTATGTTAGTAGTACAAGATATTTCAGAAAATCTGAACAAAGTCCTGAGTAAAACATTTATATCATGTCTGGAGATGGATCTTCGAGCGGCCACTGTTCCTGACAGGTTGCTCCAGCTGTATTGAAGGATGGATCAAATGCAGAGGACAAATTAAATATACCTTTACAATTAAGTATACCTCTTTGACCTTATCCTCTTTGACTGAATGGCAATCAGTCTGTGTTAAAATGTCCAGACTATTACAGACCTGTCTCTCATGGTGCTGTTTCGGGCTAACTTGAGAAATCACAAAATATGCTGCTGACAGACTGGGACTAGCATGACAAAGCCCAAACAAATCTAATACTAAACTATAAAAATAAAATGTATTTATTTATTGTAATTTAATCAATTAATTAAAAATAACTCAGAAAAGTCTAGATTAGAGTTGATTTTGAGATAAATTTGCCCAAATACACACAGAGAGGTTTTTGCCTGACGCCATAAGATCCAGGCCAACACACACCCGAGTGACAGAAACTACAGGAGTGGAAGTTACTGGAAGTCGACAGAAAACAAGACCTCGACTTCCCTCCACACTGCAGACATCAACAGACTTCTGTTCACAACCTAACATGAAAAAAGGCTACCTGTAAACTCATGTATGAGTCTGACCAGTCCAGAAATAATTCAGCATAGTTTTAAGGGCTGCAGTCATAAGCCATGCCCTGTGCATTGATTAGTCAATTAAAAGTGAGCCATGCATGGTGCTGGAAAAAGCTACCAAAACTATTAAGTATCTAACTCTATCGCCATTCTGACAACTTGTTCATAATCACATAAGTTAAATTCATTGCCCTATTACACACACCTGTGTAGTGATAAACAAGCAACTGCAGGTTTCAAGTCACAGCTGTATACGTAACAGTACAGTAAGAAGATCAATAGAAAAAAACAACAGTGATATAACATCATAATTATCATACAAGGAACAAGGCTCCCCGTGCTGTCCAATATGTTGTGTCCATGGGTAAGACACTAGAGAGATCTATCATTTCCGACAACAGACAAGGGCCACATTTGTTGAGTTGGCTCATGGCTGTAGCCTCCTCTTTCTTTCTGTCTTTCTTTCTCCTCGACCCTTATCTGAGTCTAATTTCAGCCACATGATAATATCAGCAAGTAGCATCTTTCCACTCAGGAGGGCTCAGGTCTGAAAGGAACCTAGACAGACTGTCTCTGTCTCACATACAAACATAAAAACCTGTCTCTCTTTTTTCAGTGCATTCACTCCATTTCCTCAAGATTTTGTCCAGCCGCAACAAGGGCAACTACAAATATAGAGAAAACTGTTTCAACAAAGACATAGCTTTACTAAAGCACAGGTTTCTCTCCCAAAGTATAAAAAATATGTTGTAATCTTGGAGGAAATTTATGTGGCAATAAAATAAGCAAGAGTGTGAGATCCACAGACATGGGCACACATACTTGCAGCAGGGTGTGCCCTCAGTTGAATATGCCAGTTGTTAGGGCACTAGTCTTGACACTCCATAAACTTTGTTAATGTGTGCATGTGCCTGTCGCTTTACAGCATTGTCAACAGGTAGTCCAGTCATGGCCGCATGGTTTATTTTGTATGTTTTAAGAGAAAGTTCCTTCACTCACTGCAGACTAATAGTGCTATGGCTGACTGGCATTTACTGCTGACACACGCACACTAGAAACATTACTTCTATTACTGGGATTTTACAACTCTCCAGTGACCGAAGTGTGTTTAGACATTAGACATTCATTTGATCAAAATATGGTCAACTAGCAATTTTAAACTTTTATAAAATTTTAAATAGATGGATGTTGGTGTTAAAACTGCAACAAAATGACTCTAGCTTTGGGCAACTGTATGGTGACTTTATGTTATTCTGCCTCAATGTTTTGATGGTGTAAACAAAAAGAAAGTAGAAAAAGCTGCACATAATACATAGACATACATTATTCATTTGCATACAAATCTGTTTGAATTTTGTGTGTACGTTGTGTTTTTTCTGCATTTTGTGTCTCAAAGTGATGGATATCAGGCAATTATTCAAATGTCTATGGCAGCAGAAAGACAAACCAAAGAAAGAAAAGAAAGGAGGTTGTGTAGTTTGAAGGTGGTGTGTGACAGCGAGGCCTCTCTCTGCCTTCTTTCACTATTTTCTGTCTTTCTTTGATTCTTTGAGGGGCGGGTCAATGGGGGCCTCCTGGGGTGAGTAAGCACAGGGGGGTTGTACCCCAACCACACTGTCGGACTGAGCAGCCCCTTCACAAGAAAAGACAGGCTGAAAACCTACAGACATTTCTCTCTAAGTGGTGTACAATCTGAAATGGTAAAGGATCGAAAACAGGGCACATTGAAAATCAATCAATGTCAAAGTCCTTGGATATCACAGGCTGGTGGTGTATTGCTGGATTTAGGAAAACAAGTGATAAAGCCTGTTATTTCCACAGTTACGGGTCAAATACTGTGAACAGGTAAGTGGTCAGCCCGTCTTTGCCTGGACCATGAGAGAAGGCCATTAGAGGGGCATGGGCTTTTCAAAAACATGACTCAACATGCAGGTGGAGAAGACTGTTTTCAAATGGGAGTAGACTGGCATGCAACTGTGGAAGAGGTCGGGTGTCTACACAATAAGAAACGCTGAAGATTTAGGGTAACAGTGACTGACTCTAAAATGCTTCATATGAACAGTACATGAAGTCACTTCAAATGAGTCCTTGAACATTCCGGAGTTAGTTAGAACAGCAGTACTTTGAGCCCCACTGAGCAGCCACACAGCTCTGCTTAGGCATGCAGTAAGTGTACACACACAAAGACACTGACAGATGGCAGTATTCACAGTGATGCAGTCAAATAGAGAGATGGACAGAAGGAGATTGTAAACTGATTCTCCCTCATGTCTGTCTGTCTCAGATCACTTTCTGCATTTCCTGAGAAAAGCTCCATTTTGGACACTATTCTAATGGCAACAGGTGTCTGAAAGGGGGCATTACATGAGGCCATTTGGTGTTTGAGAGAAAATGCACATTCAGACAAAAGGGGTCTGCATGTTTTTCAATTTCAAGATACTACAAAACTTTTTAACCTTCTCTCTTCGAGTTTGATCAACAGGTCAGATACAGCTGTTCTTTTTGCATTTATAATATGCAATAACTTAATGTATTTACTTTAAACTTTAGGGACTGAATTCTTGATTAGGGTCTTAATAAAGCTACAATGGGCCTTTGAGTGACAGTGTGCATGCGTGTGTGTGTGCGCGCGCGCGCGTGTGTGTGTTTGCGTCTGTGTGCAAATGAAAGCCCTTTGTTAAATGTTTGTCTAACACACACACTGCACACTACTAAAGAGAAAGTTTCTTTAATGAGAGTGAAATTTAAATCCTGGACATTGTGCTACCTTTAGACAGCAGCCAAGACAGGCAGGTCTCTCTACACAGACAATACAGTGATGTAATGGTGCTGCCAGAGTGGGCCACCTGCTGAGGAAGAAAATGGCCTTGAATTTATTTCAGTTTCACACTTTAGCAAAGATTTAACACAGAAAACAGCCAGTGGATACTGCTGTGAACACAGTCCTTGGCCATTTCTGAGAACCAACAGCTTGAATTGTCTCAGCACTGACAGGCATTTTGCAGTTAAGTAACTACAGAAACAAGATCAGTGGAATTATATGGGAGTTATAGGAGCTTTTTTTTTTTTCTCTGTCTTGAAGCACTTTACCACTAGACCAGTACCTGAAGAAGTATCCTCTGTATGGACTGTGTCTGAGGCTGCAGTCTGTCAGATTTTATTACTTCGTACAAAATATTGGTTTGAGTCTGAGTTTGTTTCTTCATCTTATACTACTCACACAGATAACACAAAAATCAGTCACTGCAAGGTTTTTCTATCATTTTACATTTACCAACAACTAATAAACATTCAAACAGGATAATACGAATTGTTATAACTGTAACTGGTATGATACACATTTTTACATATCTCTTGAGGTTTGGATTGAGCAGATGCTAGTAAGTCTGAATTAAAAGTGGATGATATTATTTAAAAGTGACCACGGATAAGTGAACCTATTTGGACAAGCATACAGGCTACTTTGCAAATATTGAGACATTTCTTTGATATAGTGAATTTAGTTACTTAGAAAAGATTAACAGCCAAATAAATAAGAACTTAAGCCCACCATGGTGCACACACGTAAACAGTGCAGAAGCAGGTGCATGGTTTCTCACGAGAGCACGCCGCGTTTATGCGCGAGCATTGCGTGGTTCGAGCGTGGTGCTGTAGAACATAATCTAGAAGTAGTTCATCACTTACAGGTAAGAAGTGAACACGCTGATATTGTTGGGTGTTCTCTGGAGTCCCAGATCCGAGCAGTCGACCCGGTGCAGCAGCCCGTCCACTTCGCACCGACAGCGGCCAGGGCAACCGCTGAGTCCCGGTCCAGAGGTTCCGCTCACCCCGGAGCTCTCAGCTGCAAGGAAGGAGCTCACATCCACCGGATCATTGGACCCCATCTTCGCGCCGCCTGCAGCCGAGTACAAGGCAAGTGTGGCCAGCACTACCATACACCACCGCATCTCTTCATTCAACAAGGCTCACTTAGAATGGGAGAATAACAGCAATGAAGTGTCAAAGCTGAACTATATGGCAATAGTTACTTAAATCTTTGACTAAATTTTTATTCTTCACCTGGTACAAGAAACGGGTGCATGCAATGAGGTTTGATCCCTGTCTGAAGTCTCCTAAAGTTTGGTGTCTGTCCAGCCTACACGCGTGGAGTGACTGTGTATGTCAAGAAGAGAGCGAGGCGCGAGATCCTGCCCACTGGGGATAAGGCTGGGTAAGCTCAGTGGTCTTTTATACTGGTAGGCTGCTGTCTATCCGTCAGCTCTACTCCTCTACTGTGCAAAACCAAACCTTTAAGAAACAACAAAATAGATACCTTACCAGTTAGCACGTGCGCCGCACTCGAAAGGAAGGAATTCAATAAGACTATTGGCCACTTTTAAATAACGATACATGTGATAATTTGTTTATGACGTTTTTGCCTTAACGAGATCTGCAAACTCATAATGAATTTATGTGCTCAATTAACAAGTTGTAAATGTAATAGCGTTTTTCTTTGTTTTTATTCTCTCTAGCGGCAGCACAGGGACCTGCACGTGGGTATAGTAATGATGCCATAACGAGAAGCAAAAAGCAAAAACCTTTATTTTTTATTAACCCTAGAACACTATCGCCGGGTGATTTTCACCCGAGCAAATGTATTTACATGATTTTCAATATGTTGCATTTTTCTGAGTGTCATGAGTCCCTGGGTAGCTTCACCATTGTTTTTAACATCTATGAAGGTGTGGGTGTTTCCCTACCCCAAAGCCCACTTTTTCCTACAGGCTTGGTTTCGGGTGATTTTCACCCGGCAATAGTGATAGAGGGTAATGTACGTTTTGGGTGAATTTCACCCAGCGATAGTGTTAGTGTATAAAATCAAGTGATCCTGCCACATGTCAAGGGTGACACATTCAGTCTCACCATATTTACTGTCCCTCTCTGACATCTCAGCTAGTGAGTAACACATAGGAAAGATTTATTTAACTTGGCAATTGTTAGCTGATTAGATCTCTTCTTTTTTTTTTTTTTTTTTTTTGTCAAAAGCTACATTATGTAGCTAGCTAGCTAACTGTGCACATTCTTTATTTCAGCAAAGAGCTACATTAGCAAGCAAGATAGCTAGCAGGTGAAGTTCTAGAACAATTCTAGAAAAAAATTCTAAAAGGAAGCCAGTAAAGTATTTGACCCAAAAGGAAATAGAAGAGATTCTGTTCAGGGAAAGCAGTGATGAAGATGTTGATCAAGTGGAAGCAGAAGAGATGTATGACAGTGACAGTGATTTGGACTACATTCCGAAACCAGGTGATGATGATGATGACAGTGATAGTGATGACTTTGAGCCTAGTCGTCAGAGAAAAAAAAAGCGACTCCATGATTACAGTAGACTGACTGCCAGACACAGTACCACCTCAGGACCTGCCGTCGACCGGTGTGTCCACGCATTACTACCCTGCCTGTACTGACTGCATGTAGGAATAGGTAAGTAAGAATGTTCTTGGAATGTGTATGCTAGCCTTATTTAGTGCAGTGGTTATGAATATATATCACAAAGTGGTGATTTCAAAGTGAATTCTTATGGTGAAAACAATATTTTAATCAAGTGGTCATTTTTACACACTGAAAAAATACTATTTTTTGTTCCTTTCTCCTGTAGCTGTTTGCGTGCCAAGGAGTCTGTGCCTTCACCAGGGAAGTCTCACATGTCTCAGGAATGGGTGGACCAAAGACCAAGTTTCCTCTATCATTATTTTTTTTTTAGGAATTTTTTGTTCTCAAATTCCAAATTTTTTAGTAATTTTCAAGCATGTTTGTAGGATCTTCCTATGTTTTTATTTTCCATTTTGTTAAACATACCACAGTTGAAAATAAAAGGAAACCACTCTAATTTATCAAGTGTTGTCATATTTTGATCTATTTTTTTGACAAGTACCTTTTGTTGGGTATATTATATCGGGTAAAATCACCCGGCAAAAGTGATGGTGTAACTTTTTATAGCGAAAGTGTTCTAGGGTTAAACCTATGAAACCTTTATTAAAGTTTATTGTATGAAATTTGTTTTTTCGGGGCCACTACTAAATTATTACATTACACTTTTAATGCCTATTGGATTATAAATGTATTGTAGGTTATATAATGTCTCCATTCTTCTACTTTTACAGAGGCTTTTCTCTCGTAACATTATACCCCGTAATAAACTGCACCATAAAGTCATGACTTAAAGCTCAGCAGTGACCCCAGAGAGAGGTGTGTTACCTGCATCAGGTACGTCAATGCATTTTGCTTTTCCTGTTCAAAGCTCAAAGTTCACTTGACAGTCGTAGGATCCATAAACAAGAAGGAAACGGGGAATATAGCTTTTAACACCTCAAAAACCAAAACAAAGACAGTCACATCGGATGGATTCGTAAAGGATGTGGATTATACATGTATGGTACATTGTATTTTACTGAAAATGGATTACTCTTGACAAAATTCAGCATAGCTCATACAGACCTGCGGTTATCGACTACGTGCCTGCCATCTTGAAAAGACACAGGTGTGTTTAAACAAAATGTCCAAAAATGTTATTTTGTTCTTGATTATCACCAGAAACAGTATTATAGCATTATCATTACATACATTTTGTAAATGGTATTGACTGATGTTTAATAGGTAGACATCTGTTTGTAATGTAAATTGAAGAATGATGTAGGCTACTTAATAACATTTTACAAGCATAAGATGATTCTTTTATATTTTAAGTATAATTTATATTATTAAGTGTATTGGTCCTGGGTTATACAGGGGGTTCATTCAATCATGTTTCATCCCCAAGAGAGGTCCCCTCAGTTGGGCAGCATGGAGCCTGGAGCACTCAGGCATGATGTTGTGGGTGAGAATGAGGCTCTTCACCAGTTCTTTAATGGTGAGATGCATTTTCAATCTATTCTCATAAACATGTAATAGACCTTAGGTTAGAAGTTTTGCTTCCTAAAATAGAAACTTATCTAAAGCTACTGGGTTAACAGGTCACACACATTTATCAAATTGTTATCTCAGTGGTGGTCAAGGTAATTGATGGCGGTCTGGTGTTTTTGTATGTGTATACAGGTGAAGACGTAAGTGGAGTACTGAGCAGTTCTGTTTCTGTAGATACAAGCATCCTTGAACAGTATCTCAGTGCTGATATGTGCCCCAACAACTTGTAAGACACTTTTCTATTCTGACCATAGATTTGTCAATACACCATCTATAACTTAGTTTCCTTCCTGGTTTTCAGCATACTCCCTGAATCTCCTCCTGATTCAGGTTCAGAGGCCTTTTCTCCTGCACAAATGCCTGGTATTATCCACTATGTCACTATGTGAATCTTAGTTGTCATACATTGTGATATACAGTATAATAAGTTTACTCTTGGCTTGCAGAATGCGTCTACAAGCCTTCACATTGGTCAAACCCACAGATGTTTGAGTCTGGGCATGTCTCTTCATCATGTCGATTTAAGGATTCATCTGTCTCGACATCTGAACCTCTGACACATGAACAGCTACGAAACATGGGTCTAACAAACATTAACATCAAACCTGGGACCCCCCCTGCTCCTCCTGCTCATAAACATCACCACATACAACAGTCTCTCAGACAAATGCACTCTTTACCACCAAGAGGCTGTTTGCAAGGATATACCCCTCCTACTCCCCCATCACCACCTCTCTGTTCCCAATATCGTACACCAGGCCCTGAAAAGGAACCCTGTCTGTCCACTTCGTCTTATTCTCAAGCATCTACCTCCCTCTCACACAGCTGGTAAGTCTGCCACTATATATATATATACATATATATTTATATTTATATTTATATATTGTTTTTTTTTTTTTACATTGTAAGTATGAAGTATTTTTTTCTCCTCAGTTCTCAAGAAAGTAGAAAAAGGAGAAGATCAGACTGTGAAGACATGTCAGGACCTAAAGCACCATATGAAGTTAACATCAGTAGCAATGCCAGCATGAGCAGCAGCACCGCTGGTTTAAGTAATGGGTCATACAGCTCATTAACATGGGAGCAGTACAATCCAGGACAGTGGAGCACTTTGTTAGACCGCAGCTATCAGCCTCTGTTAGTACTAAAAGAAACAAAAAGAATTTATGCTGATGTGAGCTGTGAATTAAATGTAATTTATGTTTTAGATCACCTCTGGTCTACCATGTTGATGCAGATAAAGGCTTCACCTACTCGACGGCAGATGATGTTTTTGTTTGTCAGAAGAAGAACCACTTCCAGGTCACAGTCCACATTGGGGTTACAGGAGACCCCCACTATGTCATGACGAACAATGGGTCACAGGAAGTCAACCACTTTGAAATTAAAGTTTTTGGAGTCAAGGTATGAGAGGAACCTGAGATTTACTGAGCAAAAGCATTGTCAGGAAACAACTTTGACACTCTTACAGTTGGAAGATCCCAGTCACCACGTGCTGATTGAGCAATCACAGTCGGACCGCAGCAAAAAGCCTTTTTATCCTGTCAGGTGGGGGAAATATTTAATTGCAAACAATTATACCAGATTTGTATACTTATAATATTTTACCTGTTTCTGTATAAAATATACTGTATACTATATTTAGAAGAAAAAAAAAACATTCAAAATTTTACCCCATGAACTGTTAAAAAGATTTACTTGCTATCCTGTTCCAGAGTCAGTCTGCCAAGCAGAAAAATGACCAAGGTGACGCTTGGACGACTACACTTTAGTGAGACAACTGCCAATAACATAAGAAAAAAAGGCAAACCAAACCCAGATCAGAGGTCAGTAAAAAGTTAAATATACTTACAATAGACAAAGGGAAGTTAGATCATTAGAGATATTTATTCAGTAAACTTTGGCAGATATTTCCAAATGGTTGTTGGTTTGTATGCTGCTGTGAAAGAAGAAACATTATTACTGGCTGCACTGGTATCAGAGAGAATCATTGTCAGGGTAAGTAGATTAATCTCAGTCACTATTTTTATCAGTTTATTCATCTTAAAACCTGCCAAAAATTTGAGATAATGGAGTATCTGTGTACAGGCGTCTAACCCAGGTCAGTTTGAGACGGAGGGAGACGCCATGTGGCAGCGAGGGGTAGTGCAGGACTCTGTGGTATGTCAGGGGCATGTGGGCATTAACACAGACTCTCCTGATGAAGCACTGGTTGTATGTGGAAATGCCAAAGTGATGGGCACAATCCTGCAACCATCAGATCAGCGTGCCAAGCACAACATACAGGAGGTGAGTCAAAGCCACACACTTAAAATAACTTAAATATTGTTGCATAAAAATACAAAACCTTACATTACATTCATTTAGTTCAGTCATTATTTATGAAAAAACATAAAATTACTCACAGAGACCGAGACGTAGAGAGTTGAACTGAACCAGGTTATATCTAAATTCCTGTCACAAGAAGCAAAAACTGTAGAAGAAAAATATTGTGCATTCAATGGCATGACCACCACAGTGATTATATTTCATAAATTGTATACTTGTTTATAGGTCGACTCTGAACAACAACTGAAACGAATCACTCAAATGAGGCTAGTGGAATTTGATTACAAACCAGAGTTCGCCTCAACAATGGGAATAGATCAAGCTCACCAAACAGGTACCAAACACTGGTGTATTTTAGGATGCACACTTGCATACACTACATAAAAACTGTGACTAAACTGTGATTAAACCAAATCAAGACCACTTGAGAACAAAAATGGGCTAAAACCAAATGTGGAGACAAGTCTTTAATTGAGACTAATCTTTCTCTTTATTCTCAGGTGTAATAGCTCAAGAGGTAAAGGAGCTCCTTCCATCTGCAGTTAGAGAAGTTGGAGATGTCACTTGCTCAGATGGAGAAAAAATAGACAATTTTCTTATGGTGGACAAGGTAAGTTCACATTCATACCACTGACATTTCGAGGAACTTATTGGAATAGAATAAGGAGATTAATATGTTTTCTGCTCTTTTTTCTAGGAGCAAATTTTTATAGAAAATATTGGTGCTGTACAGCAACTGTCAAAGCTCACAAACAACCTGGAGACAAGGATTCAAGACCTGGAGGTTTGGAACCAGCGACTGGGCAAGCTTAAGAACCTCACAGGCAGCCTCCGCTCAAGCAGGTGTCACACATCTGTCACACATCTGTATACATTTGTAATATACCTATTACACTTAAACTAAACGACATCATCTGGACAACAGCTAAAAAATAATAATGAAACAACCAAGTAAAATGTATGCATATGCCTATTGCATAACTGCATTTACTATGTGTTATCAAAATGCAGGCAAGAGTTCAAGGCCAGCTACAATTCAAAGAAATTAATGTTCACTTGATTGAAGATTTCTCTTTCCGTAGAAAAAATAGCACTGGTTCTACAACACTGACTACTGTGTCATCTAAAGCTCAAAAAACAAAGAAAGATGGCAAGTCACACAAGTACAATCACTGTTTACAGCACAGAATCTTTCAGGCCAGCATCTTCACACTTCTGGCTACTCTGGCATTTTGGTAAACCTTGATATCTTTTTTAAAATACAATTTCCTGTGTCTGAAAGTTAAATCCTATGATGATTATATTTGTTTATTTGTCAGCATGATCTCTATCACTGCTCTGTACTTGGTAACTTTGGAGGAGGACACAGACACCACCCATGATCACAGGTAAAACAGGGAAATATTAACATTTGTAATAAACATATTTTAAAATGTTGCTTACCCTGTTTCAGTAATTCAAGCTTAATCCCTCCATCAAGTACTACCTGGACAAGCACAGGTACAATCACTTTTGTGATTGTACATCCTTTTTGTATTTCAGTATCTAATAATTATCTTATGGCTGTTGTAGCACAACCAACAAGTTCCCCTGGATTTTGGCCACCAGAGGTGGACTTCTGTGACATCCTGTACTGTGACCAGGTGTACTGTTGCCCCTCATACCGAGGGGGAAACACTGGCTTCAGTATCACTCTTCATGACGGATGGGAAGAAAAGTACAATTTAACAAGTAAACCACTTGTTTATATAAGATGTTTTCTCAAGTGGGCTCAACTTAAAAATGCAATAACTTAATTTCATTGCAGATACAGGAATACAATATTTTTATAATCAGCTGAAAAGTGCCAAAGACTGTGAGTGACCAAAATTAATTAATTAATTAATTTATTTATTTATCTATCTATTTATTTATTTATTTATTTATTTATTTAGGGACAAATACAACCATTCAACACTTCATGATCAAGGAAAATCAACAGACTATTGACAGTAAATATTGTCTTAGAGATGAATGTGGGTAAGTCATTTAAAATGAATGTTTATGGGTTATTGCTATCACTGTTTTCTCTGTTCCCTTCTAATGAAAATTGTACTTGAGGCCAAGCAGGTTTGTCTACAGAATTCCCATTAGCCAGTTTGTGCCTGGTAACATGAGGATCACTCTGCTCATGAAGTAAGTCCATCCGAGCTAAGTGGAGACCAATACATTTAAGTATGTTTAAATCTTACCTATTCTTATCTCATGCAGTTCTACAGAGCTTCTAGTGGTTCATCTTTGTTATTATGACGAGTCAGCAGCCTGCACATCTCGACTGGATATAAACACTGTGACTGGGAGCCAGTATCCTTCAAATACCCAAGTAAGAAAGCACTTAATAACCATTTCAAATAAACATGATAATTAATATTTAGAACTGCTCTAGAATACCCTTTTTCATTGACTTTCTTTGTCTGGCTCATGTTTTAACTTTTCATAGAAGTCACAGGCAGAGGTGTTGCGACATAGGAGCCATACTGAAGAGAGAATAAATTAACTTCTCAATTGCAACTCTCTCAACTTTAAAATAAGATCCTTGCCATGTATCTTTTTGCGGTTTTCCCTTCCTCTTGATTTTATTTTCCCAAGATGTTTCATCAATGATACTCGTTTGTCTACTACTTTATGACTGCAGTCAGTGTTGGGGAGTAACGGATTACATGTACCGCCGTTACGTAATCAGAGTACAAATTATGAGTAACTGTATTCCGTTACAGTTACTGCTTCAATGAGTGGTAATTGGATTACAGTTACTTTGCTGAAATAAGTGGATTACAAGGCGGTATTTTCCTGTTTTCACATTTTGTGCTACATCCCATTTATTTATTTTTTTTATTTCGGTAATTCCACTCATTGCCGGAAACCCAAACAGAACGCGCGCAATAAGAGCGATGGAAACGTCATGTTAAAGTTGGCGGTGTCAGTCACACAGTGGAAGCAGCAGTGCATTGGTAAAAACGCATTTGTGTCTTCTCCCGATGTGAGATATATATAAAAAACAAAAATATAAAATCGCCTACAACTTAAATGTGAAACAGGAGCTATTGGCACTGGTGAAAACAACCTGCATAGACTCATAATATCTGCACTACTGTCCTATACACAAACACACACACAAACACACACACAAACACACACCTTCATCATCGTCATCAACCTGAGAACGCGCGGACCACGTCTCCTTCCGTAGTTACAGCGCGGACACCGCCGTCTCGTGCGCCGCTTGTGGACCGTGTTTTCTCGCGTAAACCGCGCTTCCCCCTGTGCGCCTCTAAACCAGAACTAACACCAGGACTAAAACCAGGACTAATCCAGGACTAAACTAGGACTAAAGCAGGACTGAACCAGGTTTAAACTAGGACTAAACCACGACTAAACCAGAACTAAAGACCTGATCTAGACCTGGTCTAGACCTGGTCTAAACCAGGTCTAAAATCAGGAGTAAACCAGGTCTGAAAATCAGGACTAAACCAGGACTAAACAACATGACACCTAACAGTAGGTTGACATAATTTAAGGTGATCTCATATAAAAAATTATTTCTCTATCAATAATATTTTTTAATATGGTGAAGGAAAAGCTGATCTTGTTACTGTCTTTTAACAGACAAAACCTCTTATGTTAAGATATCGTGGTCTTTGTTTCTCTACAGCAAACAGTTGCTTATTCATGGAGACTTGGGCTCAGACAATTTGAAGACAACAAACAAGAATTTTCAGGATGTGGTTGCTACATTCATGTCATTTAAAAAAAAATGACAATATCAAGTAATCCAAAGTAATCAGATTACGTTACTCACTTTAAGTAATTTAATGGATTACGTTACAAACTACATTTTGGGGTGTGTAATCTGTAATCTGTAGGGGATTACATTTTAAAAGTAACCTTCCCAACACTGACTGCAGTTAATATGGGGATTTATAGTGCATGATGTTTTGTAGTGAATTGTGAATAACACACTGGGTTTCCCTTTCATCAGAGTGACAACATTTGGTTACCAAACTTCCTAATCTCAGCCACATTCAAATCTATGACATCATGCACAGCACAGTAGGGGAAACTCCACAAACATATTTAAATTATATGCCCTTGCAATCAAGACCAGTATTTCTTCTTACATAAGTTCCTCACGTTGCATTTTCGTAAACAAGTTGCATTTTCGTAAACTAGGGTCATTTATCTTAACCTCTAATTGTGTTGATTTTTTGGTTACAGGGAGTGCATGAATGGCCTCTTCATGTGGCCCGTCTGTATCACAGCTCATATCACTTCCGATCATCAGTTGCGGTAAGATTTCATGTTAGGCTTTAGAGCCTTTAGACTTTTTCACTCTAAACAATATTTAAAGCTTTTTTGTAGCTTTGTACCTTTGTAGCTAGCCTTTTAGCCAAAAAAACCCCACTAAAATAAAAGTATGTGGTAGGGCGTTTTCTTGTTTATTTCCATGGAAATTTAGTTCTTTTGACTATAATATTCTAATGGATGAATTCTCATGGATGTAACAAAAGTTAGATTATTTGGCTTACTCTGCTGTTTTGTAGGACTCAAGAGTGCTTAGAGTGCTACATGTATCAATCTGGTATGAGCCAGCATAGAATAAAACTTATCTATCTCCATGGAGAATGTTCCAGAGTAGGATTTTAATTTTATGTTTACATGGAATCATGCAAGTGACGAGCCACCTCTACCTTTAAAAAACACCGTAGTTTTTAATCTGTTTTGTTTTGTTTTGTTTTCAGGGCCAGGCAGACTGCAGTACTGACCATCATTATGCAGGGGTGCTGTTTACTGACTACCATTTCCACTTCTATAGACGCTGCACTGATTAAAATATTCTGTATACCAAAACAGATATATTTATGTTTAACCATGTGTAAAACATCAGCGTTTTTCTCTTTACTGAATATTCAAATCAAAGTCTTGTCAGTTGTACAGTTTATTACTTATAATTGATATTAACTTATAATTGATATTAATGTCTAGTTAACAAATAATGGCATATGTGTTGTAGATATGTGACAGTTGTTTGCTCTAGTTACTTGTTTCATAATAGTATTATTGAGAAATTCTTTTAAAATTATGTCATTGTTTATTGTGTGTCAAGTAATAATAATACTAATATATAGTCAAATAAAATGCTTGTTGTTGCACAGCTTTTGTACAAATGGTCTTAAATGCTGACCTTTTTAAAATAAGAATAAACTTTGCTTGTTAAAAGCATTCATTTGTAGCTAACAAGTACATGGTAGCAGGTCATTTTCTGGGACAAACTGGCCTGTGAGAAACTTAAACCGATATCTAATTCAGGTGGAGGAGGTGCAACTGAAAACTTTGCAAACTAATTAGGTGTCTGACTCAAACTGCTAGTGTAGAGGAAGGATCAGTATACCAGGAGGAAACTAACAGAAGAAACACAAATGGACACCGTAAGTATATGTTTATGTTACGTGTTTTGTACAGTTAACTCATATTATTATTGTTTATAGAGAAGACGATGCATGTTAATATTTCATTTCTATTTAAACATTTAAATGAGAACAATTTGCATCATTTAGGTTTATTGTATGTAACTTGATTTTATAATAGTTGTAAAAACACATTTTTGTCTTTAATATCTTTGAGTTTTCTCAGTGTGAGAGTATCATCTGTCAGACTGACAGTAAGACAGATGTCCCTATCACCACGGAAACTGTCCTCAGGGGAAGCATCGTCCACCTGTCTCTGAGCTCATGTAATTAAGTGATACTGTATCTGACACTGTGTTCAGGTACTGCCAGGACGAATGGGCCTTCGCCACCTCTCTCAGATTCAGGAGGAGACTGACAGCAGAGAGCCAAGGTAACTGTTATGCTTTCATGAGTCCAACATGTTATTAAAATCAGGTTTTACTGTGATTTCTGATTGTATTTTACTTATGTCAACTCTACTGTTTTATATAATAATAATAATAATAATAACACATAATACTTACACGGTGCTTTTCTGGACACTCAAAGATGCTTTACAAACAATAGTAGATAGTAGTTTAGATAGTAGGAATAGTTTGTATAATAGTAATAGTAGATAGTAGTTTGAACAGATGACTTGTATGCCCTGAATGACTGTATGTGTTACACCGTATTTATACCATAATTAATGTCATCTGCTAGTAAGAGTACCATACCATTTCCTATAATAATATTTTTAAAAGTTCTCATTTGATATGATATTGATTCACATTAAAAGAATGTAGCCTATCACTGACTCAGTATTATGTAAGAAAGTGGGTCAAGATCCATCAGATAATGCTGCATCTGCATGTAGTATCAATGTCTATGGCTAAAGCAGGGAGATACTTAACTGTGATCAGACACTGAAAGAGAACCTGAACTCAGATTAGACCTAATTGTGTCTCTGTGTGGTTGCATTTCCTAGCACAATAAATGAAATGGCCTCTTCTTCTCTGTCTCCAGTACATGCTTTCTTCCTCCCATAACCCCACAGCAACAGCAGCAGAAGCAGGCGCTAGTTTCAAGCCAAACAAGTGTGAATGAGGTTAACGCAGAGGCAAAGAGGCGTCTGTCTGATCCTGCAGCTCTGGCCTTGTATGAGCAGCAAAGTAAACTGGAGGATAACATGAGTCTGCTGGAGGAGGTAACTGTTCATGTCTCATTTGGTATGAAAAAAAAAAAGACATTAATTTTACTTTAATAATATAACATATTCATTCATTCTTTTTCAATTAATGTGACAAAAGCAAGCTACAGATGTGAACTGAAAAAGATCACATTGAAAAATTGTCTGTTTTATCCAGTTAGGTGCCATAGAGGCGGAGCTGCGTGAATCTCTACGTCTGGACATGGAGCGAGAGCAAGAGGATGAGTTTCTTCGTCAACAGGAGAACCAGCTGTTGTGGCAAAGCCTTAGCTATCTCAGCCTTAACCAAAGAGTGGCAAAGTACAGTACATCAATAGCCCCATGATATAACTGTGTCAGATTATTTTTTGTAATTTAAAACACTAATCCACTGTGTGTATTTTGTTTAATGTGCAGGCCGTGGGTCAGCAGCTACTTTCGGAAGTTCCCCATGCACATCTACTGTCTTCCAGTTCAAGCTGCCAGTCAGAAAAAGAAAGAAAAAAAAAGAAAACGCAGCACAAAGAAGAAGTGAGGAATATTGCATTTCTATTGATCAAGTGTTCACAAATATTATGACTTTTTGTCAGGTTGGATATTGGTGGTTTTAAGATTAAGATTCTAGGGTGAAGATGTTTTACTGCCACCTGAATAGTCAGTTTTCTCCTGTTTATTATATAGCATTTTAACAAGAACTAGCCATAAATCTTGAACTTGAGCAATAATATAGTAGGTCCTGGGTCTTTGAAGTCACTATTTTACAAACCTCCATCGCCTTTAGGCCTACAATCCCTTGAGCACTGTGAAATGCAATAAATTGTCCATAATGTTGTTGATACATTAAAATGAACTTAAATAAACAACTTTTAGTGTTCTTTAAGTACAGTATAGTATAGTATTTGTGGCTATGACACAGTCTACTACAATCAACGCGTGTATTAAAATTATAAGATATATAATTAAGTAATTAATAGCAGATGATATTATTATTATTATTATTATTAGTAGTAGTAGTAGTAGTAGTATTAGTAGTAGTAGTAGTAGCAGCAGTAGTAGTATTGACAGTTATTATCTGATAATAGTTCTACAACGATGACTACTCCAATATTTCAGAAAGTAGATGTTTTTGTTTTGCATTAGCAGAGTGGCTTGGTGTCCTGAATTTCTCACCCCTGTGGTGCCTTGAACGCGGCCTTTACGTCGGTGCGTCGATTGCGACGTTTCCTCCCAGCCCCTTTTCTCTGTGCGTGCACCGCTTTAGCTTGGAATCGCTGACATCATGGTAATATCTTTTTTTTTTTCTTTTAATCGAAGAAAGACCATTCCGCTACATTAAGCTGATAAATACATTTGACGTGGTGATAATTCATTGCCTGCAGTCTTTCGATTATTTGTATCAGGACAGTAGTTACCTGTATGCTAACTGTGCTAACCGGGTAAAGCACATGGGCGTAGTGAATGAAATCCATGCCTGTGAGCTCAAGTGAACTGAGGTTTACGGTCAACAAACTGTAAACTATTTGCTTGTTTTCTACGTCTTACTAAGAGAACCCATTGGTGGCTCATTTATATTATTCGTGATGATAGTCAGCTGGATATTTTTGAGGATGCCGCTAATGATGCTAGCATGCTAGATTAGCCTGTCAGCCTGTCTGCTTTGTGTCTTGTCATAGGCATCGTGAGGAATAGCGATACAGACTGACTGAAAACATGAAATTAATTTGCAATGTACCAACGCCGGTAACTGACATTTGCAGCCCACACATGTTTATTTAGACATTAGATTTGACATCTAATATAAAAACTTCTAGCGGTTTCTATGATTATATGGGCGGAGCCAGGACTGAGGGTCCTTCACGTGTTGGGGTAAACTAAACCGTTTGGCTATTTAATAGAGACTTTAGTAATGCAAACTGACACAATGTCCATGGCCTGACCACATATTTAATTTATAGTTGTACATATAAATATTAGTCTCTCCACTTTTGTTAAATGTGATTTGGGTAATATATTTATTGTACCAATTTGACTTTGTAGGCATCCTTATCCATGGCTCCCGTTAACATCTTCAAGCATGGTGCTGATGAAGAAAAGGCCGAGACAGCTCGACTGGTGAGATTATTATATTTGTATTATGTAGCACTCATACCAGAAGATGATTATTTCTCTCAATGTTTCTATATTCTAGTCGTCCTTTATTGGCGCTATAGCTATTGGCGATCTGGTGAAGAGTACACTGGGGCCAAAGGGCATGGTTAGTGGAAACTTAGAAACTTATTTTGCACTCATAACATTAGAGTAGGCCTAATGCTTTAACCCTTTTATTGTCAGGATAAGATCTTGCTAGGTGGAGGCAAAGGAGGTACAGTGACTGTGACCAATGATGGAGCAACTATTTTGAAGGCCATTGGAGTTGACAACCCTGCTGCAAAAGTATTAGTTGGTGAGTTGCATTGCATAGATATCAGAACGAAAAAAAAATAATATAGGTTATATGTGGTATTGACTACTTTATTTAATCAAACCTGTTCCTTTCAGACATGTCCAAGGTTCAGGATGACGAAGTTGGGGATGGGACCACCTCTGTCACAGTACTGGCAGCTGAGCTTTTGCGAGTAAGACTTATAACAAAGTTCTAATGGTAGACTCACACGTAAAAACATTTGGAGCAACTTAAGCAGTCTGCGCTTGTTAATTCTTTGACATTTAAATTCTTTGTCAACTATCTGGAGGTACATGAGACATGAAAAGAGCATGCCTAGGAAAAAGATTTAGGTGCTTTTGTTTGTGTCCACTGTCTATCTTATCTGAATGTATGACACTCTAGTCTATTACACATTTTTGAGACTGTGATCTCCACAGGAAGCTGAGCTTCTTATTGCCAAGAAGATTCATCCACAGACGATCATCTCTGGCTGGAGAAAGGCCACTCAAGCAGCTAGAGAAGCTCTGAGAGATGCAGCAGTGGACCATAGGTGAGGCTGCATACTCAAATTCAGAAAGCTTTTTACTGTTGTTTTACATTTTGTGTGACAAGGGAACAACAACACAGGACATAGTTCATCATTTCAGTTTGAAGTATAAAATATAAACTAATCTTAAATTTCTTTTCTCTCTTTAAGCAATGACAAGGGCCGTTTCGAAGAGGACCTGCTCAACATTGCACGCACGACTCTATCGTCTAAACTACTCACCCATCACAAAGACCACTTTGCACAACTGGCTGTGAATGCTGTCGGTCGCCTCAAAGGCTCTGGAAATCTGGAGGCCATTCACATCATCAAGAAGTTGGGTGGCAGTCTCACAGACTCTTATCTGGATGAAGGTATCTAATAAATGTGATGACAGTAAATTATTCTAGAGTTTATTTATATAAATACTATTAACGCTGTTTATTTTTTAGGTTTCTTGTTGGATAAGAAGATTGGGGTCAACCAACCAAAGAGGCTGGAAAACGCTAAAATCCTCATTGCCAACACTGGGATGGACACAGACAAAATTAAGGTATTTCTTATTTTTGTTATTGTTAGGCCTTCCACCACAGCTGTTACAGGCTATAACTCGGCACACTGTGGACTATGTGTAACAATGTTGTTTTGTCTGTTTTTTCATGCTTGTGCAAATTTGACATTTACTTGTCTTGTTAGGGTCTTTGAAAATATTGTAAAAGCAGTAGGGATGCAATCTCAATACACGGGTCACGACAGCGATTTGATTTTCGATTAGGAAAAAAAAATCCCATGTAATTTTCTCTACTAATGAGTATATAATATATATGTATTATAATTTAATATAATATAATAACACTGATGTTATTGAAACATTACATACATTACTGTAGAACTACTGTAAAGGTGCAGTTTATATGTGAAGTGTTTTAGTTCATTTGGTTCAAATGATTTACAGCTCAGAATTTTTAGTGAAAATAAGAATGGTGCTTTCTCAGGCTATTTTATCATATAGCCAGTCTACTCTTAATATAGAGTGGCAGGGGAGATTAACTGTCATACTTTTCCTTCTTTTATGATGATTTGATGATTTCTTTTCCTCCTCTGCCCCCTCCAGCAGAGATGGTAGCTCTGTTCACAGCCCTCTCCCATGCTCTCTTTGGACTCTAAAACTGTGCTATATTACATAGAAATGTAAGTGTGTAATGTAAATGGAGTCTAAGAAAAAGATTACGTATATCGCAAGTTGAGTCGCAGGTGCGTATATGAGCACATTTGATTTGTATAGAATTGCTTTTGGATTAAGTATTTAAAAGTGAATATCTTTGTCATTCCTGGGTCTATCAACATAAAATAAAAAATGACTGAAAGATAAAATCCACCTCTGTTAGAATATTTCAGCTGTAAGTCTCTATGGAGCCGTTTTCTTTTTGCATCTGAGAAGGACGCTGCGATAACTGTTTTCTTTTCGAACCAAATAAATGACAGCACAGCGTGCATGGAGAGTCGCATATCAACATGTGTAACGAATCGTGAGACCAGTATCAAACAATTCGATATTATATCGAATATCATTGCATCCCTACAAAGTAGTAACTAATTGTTTTGATTGTATTTGTTTGTATTTTAGATCTTTGGTTCCAGGGTTCGTGTCGACTCTACAGCAAAGGTTGCTGAGATTGAAATGGCAGAGAAAGAAAAAATGAAAGAGAAAGTTGAAAGGATCTTGCAGCATGGAATCAACTGCTTCATTAACAGGTAAACTAGCACAGGTTATATTCAAGTAATATAATGTGTCTTGTTCTAAATTTTGAACCCTGAATATTTCTGGTGTCCTGCAGACAGTTGATCTACAATTACCCAGAGCAGCTCTTTGCACAGGCTGGTGTCATGGCTATTGAACATGCGGATTTTGCTGGTGTGGAGCGCCTGGCTCTCGTCACTGGTATGTCTCGAAAGGATACGCACACTTAAAACATAATGTTCCAACTTTACATATTCTTAATTTGACTAGGTGGAGAGATCACCTCTACCTTTGATCACCCTGAAATGGTCAAACTGGGTCATTGCAAATTGATTGAGGAGGTGATGATTGGAGAAGATACCCTTATCCACTTCTCTGGTGTGGCAATGGGTATGTACACTCCTTACTACAAATGCAGCACTTTGCATCTCTTACTTTTCTTTGTTTCTCAACAGGTGAAGCCTGCACTGTTGTCCTACGAGGAGCTACTCAGCAGATCCTGGATGAGGCAGAGCGCTCACTGCATGATGCCCTTTGTGTGTTGGCACAAACTGTCAAAGAGCCTCGCACTGTTTTTGGAGGAGGTGAGTTTACACATAAATCAATTGGTTAATAGAACTCCAATTACAGCTTTTTGGTTCTTTTCACTAGGTTGCAGTGAGATGCTGATGGCTAAGGTTGTGACTGATTTGGCAAATAGGACAGCAGGAAAGGAAGCTGTTTCTATGGAATCTTTTGCAAAAGCTCTTAGAATGGTAGGGATATTGCCTTAGATAACTCTCTTGCCCTCTAAGTTCTAGTCCTGAGTCTTGTTTCTGTTCTACAGCTGCCAACAATCATCGCAGACAATGCAGGTTATGATAGTGCTGACCTAATCGCTCAGCTGAGAGCAGCACATCAGGAAAACAAGACCACTTTTGGACTGAGTGAGAAACCCCTTATGTTAATATGTACTTTTGTGTTAAATAGCACATGAACTAATGCATTAATCCAACATGCAGATATGACTGAGGGAACAGTGGGGGACATGGCAGAGTTGGGCATCACAGAGTCGTTCCAGGTCAAACGGCAGGTGCTGCTGAGCGCGGCTGAAGCAGCAGAGATGATCCTCAGAGTCGATAACATCATCAAAGCAGCACCCAGGTCAGCATTTGTTATCTTTTTAAGACTGCAAACTATCTTGGGTACATCTTGTATTTGACAGTCTGTGTATTTTTGATTGTTTCTTTTATAGGAAGAGGGTTCCAGACCATCATCCCTGCTAGAGGAGTATGAAGAGGATCTGTTTTATTTATCATTCTCAGTGTAACTCAGAAGGTCCACTGTCATTTTTATCAGTTAAACATTAACTGTAGCCAGCGCTTTATGCCAACTTGTTCCCGGCTCTTGAAATGTCTGGTCCTGGTTTGTAATGTATTTAAACCAAGAAGTAAAACATTGAATAATGGTGGAACAATGCTGAAAACTTCTCCATATAAAGTCAACCTGTTTGCAGTCACTCTCTTCAAATGTCAACATTTGCTTTTGTTTACTTGAGGAAAATAAACTTGTGTTGAGCTGATTTGTTTCATCTGAGGTCTTCATTAATTTAATAAATCTAAAGGTTATAAGATGAGATGAAGATGAAGTTGGCCATAAACACACATGATTTGTAACTAGAAAAAAGTGCAAATACACACTGTGAAGTAAGACCTAGGGGTTGGGTCACAGTCACCCAGATATTACAATGTCAGCATTAGAACATTTAGGTTCAAATTATCCGAAATAAAAATTGTGTAGCCTCGCAAACAGAATTCATGTCAACATAAAATGATAAAAATGAATTGTTTTTGCTTAAAATACAAATTTCTCTGTTGCATAATCTATGCAAAACTTAAAAATCATAAGCATAAACAAATAAATGGATTACTTCATTCTTTAGCCTGACCCCATGAGTGTAGGAGTGGTAAATACTGATGAAACCTGTCCAGAAAGTCAGTCTGACTATTGGATTTGAAGAACAAATATGTGGAGGCTGGTGCTGCTGGTGCTGCTGGTGTTGCTGTTTGGGACATGGACAACCTCAGCATTGATCAGGTTGAAATATTTTTTTTTTTTTACTTTGATGCATAAGTTGATCTTTGTTGTTAAATATTTTTTCTGATGGAACAGAATTCCCCTGAAGCAGATGAACTCAATTCGCACCCAGCTCAGAGGAAGTGGCCTGTTGGAAGAATTCCTGAAGGAACACCATCCTGACACATTCAGCCGGCGCTATGTTCAGTGCTTCCCACCAGGCACACCCTCAATGCAACTGGGCCGCTCCCGGGAAAAAATCTTCAACTTTATGGACGTAAGAATTTTTTTTTTTTTAATGTTTGTGTAGTGGATTTCATTTTTATCAAAAAATGAAATCTAATTTAAAATGTTGTTAATCTGGTCTGCACCTGCCTCCACACAGGCTCAGTTCTATGGTGAGATCAGTTTGGGGACTCCAGCACAAAACTTTTCAGTGATTTTTGACACTGGCTCTGCAGACCTGTGGGTGCCATCCTCTTACTGTGTCAGCCAGGCCTGTGGTACTAGTGCATTTCATAACACAGTTGCATTTTTTATTGAGTGGTTCCTAACTAAACTGACCGCAGCGTGCATTTCTGTTTACAGTTACACACAGACATTTCAAGGCATTTGAGTCGACTTCGTTTCAACATGATGGCCGATCATTTGGGATTCACTATGGTTCAGGACAACTGCTTGGGGTCATGGCAAGAGACACACTTAAAGTCTGTAGTGTTACTTCATGCATATATATGTGTATATATATATATATATGTTCAAGTTCAGTACCAGTCAATGCTGTATGATAAGTGTTTTTATATGTGTTTATAGATTGGAAATATGACCATAGAAAAGCAAGAGTTTGGTGAATCTGTGTACGAACCTGGCTCTACCTTTGTTTTTGCAAAGTTTGATGGGGTTTTGGGTCTGGGCTACCCCTCTTTGGCAGAGGTTTTAGGAAAACCAGTGTTTGACAACATTATAGCTCAGAAGAAAGTTGACCAGGCAGTCTTTTCTTTCTACCTCAGGTGTGACAATAAAACACACTGAATAAGCAGTTAAGCTTTTGATCAGTTTGAATTATGTAAAAACATCTGTCAATTGTTTAACAGAAGGAGGGCAGATGGTGCCACCTCTGGAGGTGAACTCCTCATTGGAGGAACAGACAAAGAGTTCTATACTGGAGAAATCCACTGGACCCCTGTGACGGCTCAGAGCTACTGGCAGATCAAGATCGACAGGTGTAAAGCCATTTCTGTTTGTCAAATGTTTAATAATGTGTTTACAGTTTATTATATCTCATTTTATGTCTCATTTGTTGATTTAGTATTGCTGTGCAGGGCACAAACTCTGTATGTCAAAAAGGATGTCAAGCCATAGTTGACACAGGAACCTCTCTGATTGGTGGACCACCCAGTGAAATCCTCACTCTACAAGAGCTCATTGGAGCAACACCAAGCAGCATTGGAGAGGTAATACACTCTAACATAGATAAAGAAAAGCATATTTCAAATTATCTGAATATGTGTGGATGTGACCCTAATATTTTGACTTGTAATTTTAGTTTGTCTTGGACTGTACAAGATTGCCCAATTTGCCTCATATTACTTTTGTGCTGGGTGGCAAAGAATACACAATGACTCCTCAGAGATATGTCAGAAAGGTTCATAACATTTGTATTTTAATCCTCTTTTATAGCTTCCAAAGCATATTTAGAAATATAAGTTGTAAGGCACTGCTTACAGGTTACTGTATCTCTGATTAAATGAATCAAAATTTCCTTTTGTGACCTGCAGGAGATGCTTGGTGGTAAGGTTCTGTGCTTCAGTGGTTTCCAGCCTGTAGACATTACTTCTGCCCAAGGAACCCTGTGGATTTTGGGAGATATATTTCTGACCGAGTACTACAGTGTATTTGACAGAGAACATGACAGAGTGGGGTTTGCACCTATAAAACACTAAAATTAATAAGCTGTCTGTGGCTCCTGCAAGATTACAAACTATTAAATAAAAAAATAAAACTTTTAAATATACCCGCAGTGAGTAGAAGTACCGTAATCACTCTAGCTTAATGCTGAAATCAAGTAAACATTTTACATTTACATTTTACAGTAAAAAGTACTGACACACATTTATGTTTGGTCATCTACATTCTCATTCAGAACAGTATATTTTAGAAGCATGTTGGTTATTACCTGCTAACTGTTAGTTGTACTGTGGTCAAACTTTGCCATTGTTGTTTTCTCTCTGCTCCCTGTTGTCAGTTTGCTCTGTCCCCTGGTAATCCTGGTCATATGGTGAGTTGGGGATTTGCAGAGTGTTGCTAGGTGGAGCGGCTGAGCTACGTAATTGGAAGCGAGGCAGCCCCCCTCTTCGTTTTCCCAGAGCTTTGGGGCTGGGCAGGCTGCGTACAGACCCTTTAGAGGCACGACGGGAAAACTTAAGGGAGAAATGACACCGCCTTGGCCGTGTCTGTGAGTGACAGAGAGAGTTCATTCTGGTCCACCGAAACTCTTTAGGGCCATGTTGAGTGGGTGAATAACAGACAGAGGAACCCTTCCTGTAAGAGACAAAAATATTAAGTATATTTCTTGCCAAAAATTTAAACATTTAATTAAAAAAGGACCTTGGTAATATCTCCAAGCCTGGAACATCCTCAGAAGAAGACACATCAAAGCCATTATAGGATGTCATGGCCGCACCAATGACGGATGGGCTCACATTTAGAGCAGCTTCACAGAAAAGAGGAGGGCTGACCACGAGTCGAGGAAAAACCCCAGAGTGAGTGCATTCAGGGGAGGGCGGGGTGGTATTGACCTCCCTCACAGTGGACAGAGTGTCCATGACAGGGTGTACCATGACAAGAGAAGTAGGGGTCACTATGGTCTCTGAGTGTGGAGTGATCCTACAAAGGTGGTAAAATAAACTATGTTGAAAATGTCAAATAAAAGGCATTAGGGCTGCACAATATATCACAAAAATATTTCAATATGAAATTTGCTGTTTTTCTTTATAAATGCTTTAAAAACATTTTTATTCATAATTTTCCATGTTAATATTCTTTTTCCATATTAAATCCTTGATTAATCTTGCAAGATTTTGTTTGACTTGTAAATTAAGGCATGTATATTTTTGTTTTAATATAACTGAAATTGTTGGGTTCATTTGTAATGTGGTATATTAAAAGATTGATAACATCAGTGTTGCAGTACTTAACATCCATGGCAGATATCCCAATATATTTCAATATTGTGCAGCCCTAAAACACATAATCACTTTACAGAAAAGGAAACAATACCCCAGATTAGGGAAGAAGCTCCCAGTTGCGTCACTGCTGTGTCTTTTGAAGACAGGTCGAGGAGGCTGGAGATCTGGAGGTTCTTGGACACTCAGCAGCCTACGAACCCGACCCAGAACCTACCAATAATCACATATATAATAAAACTCTTTCAGTGGGTACAATGCTTGAAGACACTGTCTTACCGACTCCTGTTGGCGAGGTGTATAAGATGGTTGTTGGTGCAAATGTTTTGTGTTACTGGCTTCATCACACTGCAGTATGTCTGACAGACTACAAGATAATGAGGGGGGGAAATTAATGAATGAATCAACTTGTCTCCATATATGCAGAGCTGGTATTTGAGTCTAACCCCATGTCGGTGGTTGAGCCTAGGAAGGAGGCGATGCAGGAGTCAGCAGCAGCCAGTGTGTAAGGTGGCCGGGCTTCACTGTCGTTCCAGTAAATGTCTTTGATCAGATGAGGGAGGTCCATATGCATCTCATCCACAGCCAACAGGGACACCTAAGAAAGAAAGGTAAAAAAAATTGTGATTACAATATGGGTAACATTTGTTCTGCTTTTGTTTCATGTAATATTCAAAGTCCTCAAAAATGACCACTAAATACGAGGAACTGTTACAACACCAATATTATAAAATTTAATAAATGATAGCATATACACATAACTTTAAGTAAATAGAAATGTCTACAATCTTAAAACAGACCTGGAGGTTTCTGTCAATTATCCAATTTGCCTCAAAATCTTCATCATCCTCCCCAAATGGATTGATTAACTGCTCTGCCACCTACAAAGAATTCCAGTTAAGTTAAGGCTAGAACTTTATATTAAAAATTAGTAACAGGTGACAGTCCATGCCTTTAACCATCCAGAGAAAAAGAGGAACTGCAATAGAGTGAAGACTGGGACGTATAGGTCAAGGTCGTGACCATGGTAACGCTGAGCGGGGTCAAGAAACTGCCGGCCGATGAGACAAGCGAAGAAGAAAGTGTAGACGGCCAATGTAACGACCTGGAGAGACACAGAGCTAATGCCTCTCACTTCCTCTGTGTGTGGAGGACTTTGAGAGCTCATTCGATTACTGATCGGATTATATGACTCATAGTTAAATTTATCATACAAATGTTGTTGAAACAGTAGAACAACAGACCTGTGTGTAAACCAGAGGGACTCCAACCCAGTCGTAGCCAAAAAGAGTTGCACACCATGTTCTGAACGTATTCATCTCCTGTTAAAAAGTTACAGACGTGCAAAAGTTAAAATATGCAAATTTTTAATATCATGGATGCATCCAACAAAATATAGAAGTGCTGTCATAGCCTGAGTGTCATGTTGTGATAATATTTGGTTGTAAATATCTGGTAAACTTGATAAAAATCTAAGTAACTGAATAACACACATGAGCTTTTAAATAGCATTTTAAACCTTTTTGGACTAATTGTTATTATCATTAAACATGTGTTCTAATGAACAAGACATGTCTGCATGAAATGCCTCAGCAATGATAAATGGAAAAGATTATATAACAGAATAATAAGTCAAATTTTGTGTCACATTGAGAATGTTTTGCAGGTCAATGCTGTCTTGGATTCGGCCCTCGTGTCGAGCTTGTGTTGCCAAGTTGGAGAACCACACTAACGGTATCCAATATTTTAGATGAGGAGAACGGATATTCTCAAAAACCTTTCTTTCTTCTGGAGTCATGAAACCTGTTAAAAAACATAAAAAAATAAACATTTATATGTTTAGCTAAAAAGAACAGATAGAAGAAAATATTATGAATCCTCAACTTTTAAAAATACACCAGGGAATGGCCAAACATTATTATGTTCTAATCCCTATGTATTCTATCAGACTTGTCTTTTACTTGATTTGAAGGGTTTTATTGTTTTAGATCAAGTAACATTAAATTGAGCATGTATTATTATTATTATTTTTTATTTATTCAGTAGTAAAAATGTTATCTGTCTATTTGCAGAACTTTGGAAACAGTTTATAAAGTGGATTGGATAAGAAAGTCACATGGAACTTTATTCCACTCTATTCATGGGTTTAAGTGATAAATATATAACACCATTGTCATAGCAATTAAGTATCCTAAACATTGTTTTGAATGGGCAAAAGTCCTCAAAATATCATTTAGAAACAGGAAGCTGGGCTCCATAGACAAGGGTCAATGCCCATGCCAATTCAATTACAGTTTGCAGGAAGTTGATTTGAAAGAGTTGTTTAAATCTGACCTGCTTCAACCACATGGTCCATAGTTGGGAATCGCTTGCACACAGCTGTACTGACAGAGCGAAGGATCAGGAGTGATGTGAGGTTTATGTAACGGACAAGAGTTCTCCTCAACAGCCGTCCGTGTTCATCATTACCCTGTACACAGCTCGAAGAATACAAATAAAAGTACAATAACAAAACTGTTTTAAGTGAATCATAACAATGTTATAATACTTAGACTTAAACTTAGACAAAATTTATTGTATCTACAATACATAATAAACAACCCATAATGCCTCTTTTACATTGTGCGAAGATTTGTGTTAAAACTCTCTCTTTCGTTCTATTAAAAATACCTGGAGATGAGGAACATGAGCCGGTCAGGCCAAGGAAGGTTCAAAAACTGGTTCCACCATCGATTCACCACAAGTGTCACATAGAAACCTGAAAGCATGCAGTTTGATGTAACTGTTTTGAATTGCCTAAAAATATGTCCCCCCTCCCTGCCCCCTTCTCGTATTTTACCCATCCATAAGAGCGAACTAGAATTTGGATGTGTGCAGTCCCGGTTTAAAGCTTAATGCTCTTTAATGATCAGTTTCCATTAGGAGGATTCTAATGAGGCAATCAAGCACCCTCTCCCCGGCAGTACAGTTTCCTCTTTTATTGAACAACACACACTTTATTTAATGGTATACTGAAGATTTGATTTATATTTTTTCAGATCTAAATTGAACATTTTTATTCCAATTAAATTCTGTATTAACTCTTAAAGCTATGGAATCAGACTGTTAATCCTTATTCCCTGTGGACCCTTATTAAGTTGTTTATCTGAATAACAACACCTCTGATGTTAATACTTTTCAAAGTTAGTGATAGTTACAAGGATCTTGTAGCTAGACAGAGAAACAGACAGATAAACAGACAGATAGACTTTATTAATCTTCCAAATAGGAAATTCAGGTGTCCATGTAGCTAATTTATACATTCTCAATAAAATAGACAGACCTTAAATATAAAAATTATCCATACTTAAACATAGTCAGTAATAGTGTAATGTAATTGTCATAGCTGAATTTCCTATTGGGTACAAAAATGAAGAAAAAAAAGTCTCAGACATACCCAGGACGAAGGTGACAGGTATCTGCTCTGCATATTTGTCACAGTACATGGATATTTTCTCAAATAGTCTCCTCTGGGATTCAGAAAGGGCAAGCCTGAATCACAAACCCACACACAAATGAATAAAAAAGTACAGGATTTTACATAGAAAAATACACTGTAAGTATAGGACCTGTATACAAGACTGAGGACAGTGTAAAGCAGGCCAAACACTGCAAACTCTCGGTACAGCAGTTTGTAGATGCTCCCTCTCCATCGCAGCAGTAGCCGGTGGAAACTGAAGAAAGTCGCATTGGCCACTTCATTGGAGTAAGTGACAGTCATGTTCACACTGTGTAGTCTGCTGAGATCCAGTCACAAATATGTGTTATCGTCCATGTAAAAACTCCAATATATTCTGACCTGAGCTTTCTCCTGTTTGTTTGTCCGTGCCTCTGTCCTGTGTCTGACTCCCTCACTGATACTGCCTTGTAATGCCAGGCAGCTCCACACATCACTGTGGCTAAATGTAATTAGGCTATGTCACCACAATGGATATCTGCTGCTGCCATAGCTGAAAAATAAACTCAAACCATACTCAACATACAAACTCAACACATACTCACTTTTACTTACTTTTTCACTCTTTTATTCTTTTATAAATGTATTACATATGTCAAATATGTGTTGATATATTATGGGCTATTATATTTGTTGTTTAGTTCAAATGTCTTTTCTTCTTCATTGTAGGCTTGTCTGGTACTGGCTCATTTTCATTTCCTGTCAGTCTTTTCGGTGCAAAATTGAATTAACATAGGCTAAATTCCTAGAAAATCTGATCTCAAATTAGACCACCTGGAAGGCCAAGTTTGGCCAGTGGGACCTAGTGTGTTCACTCCAACTTACCTTGTATTTATTCAATACATATTTTTAATTTTTTTTTTTTTTTTAAATACATCTCCACAGATCTGTGCCTACTCACAGTAAGAATGCATGTTTTCAGTGTATATTTTGGCAAAAACATCTGTAATTTAATACATATTTTAATGCAATAAGGTGTGGAACATCACAGGCAAATCAGTATCTACTATGGATCTGGAGGCACTGACTCTCACCAGAAAAGTTACAGTGCACCTTTAAGTTGGCTTTAACAGAGAATATAAAAGTAGTGAATTAAACAAGGCCAACATTTAGGCCAGGTCATTTCCTTGTTCTTTTTTCTTTTGTCAAAAGAGCTTAACACTTGCTTCCACAAATCTCGTGTGTGTACCATGAAGTATGGCGTGTACAATGTCTGTAAAACTCTAGATGGCAGTACACACATTTTTGTCACAGCCCTCCAGCAGAAGAAGTCATCCACTCGAGCGTTTCGCGGTAAAAAACAAACTCCTTTAACTCCTGTTTTTTTCATCATCTTTTGTCAAATTATAATCAGAGGGCATGTTCCCTGTGTATTTAGACATAGATAATATCAGAAAATAGTAGTCGTTTGGCTGCATTGTTTGGCTGTCTTGTTAGCATCCTCTTATACATTCCTTAAGTACTACTATTCATTCTGAATATTTTCGCTGTAATATTTACCTATGCACATGCAAACAGAATAACAGCAACTATTCACTTTTACTGTCTGCTTTGACAATAGAGATATGAACCATGCCTTCAAACGTGGAAATTAAAGCCATTGTGAGCGATCATGGGCAGTTTGCAGAGAGGGCTGCCCAGCTCAGTCAGTCCCAGGGCGCCATCATCCGCCAGCATGACACCTTCTTCAACTGCGGCCAAGGACGATTAAAGCTCCGAGACTTTATGGTACACTCTTGTATACACACGCTGCCAATATGTAAATTAAGCCACTAATGTTTGTTTTTTGTTAAAGGATGGGACAGGACAATTGATATTTTATGAGCGTCCTGACTCTGATGGACCCAAACTCTCACGTTACTCCATCAGCCCGACCACCGAGCCGTCTTCCCTCAGGGTAAAAACTCCACACTTTCATGATCGTATTGTTGGTTTAAAGTAATACGCTCATGACAATATTTGTGTGTTGATGTAGACAGTACTTTCAGATGCTCTTGGCGTGAAAGGTGAGGTGCGAAAGGAGAGACTTCTCTTTCTTGTTGGTCAGACCCGAATCCATCTGGATACTGTGGAGGGCCTTGGGCATTACATGGAGCTGGAGGTAAGCAGATTGGGCTCAGCACTTTGTTCTCTCTATTATGCTAACTTCTGGGTTAACTGGTTTTCTGTTAGTTTTGTAAAGTTATTTCTCTAGTGTCTCTTGAAATACTGAATAGGAAACTAGAATATATTCTAGTAGTGCTGGGTGATATGAGGGGAAAAAAGAATCACAAATTTTTTCCCCCATATTGATTGATTTTGATTTTCTATTTGATCTTCTTAACTTAAAAACTTAGACATGACTTCTGGCATAAAGGGCAGGGTGTCAAGGTCACTACAGTTTTTATTTTGTAGTGATAGGACCAACATTTCCTGTGAAATGCACATTTCAAAGGTTGGAATGAGTTTGTACAATATATTAAACCCAAAATATGCACACGTTGACGTTAGTGGCATAAATACATGCACACACACAGCCACACTCTCCTATGAGACAAAATATTGGGGTAGCACTCCCAACCACAGCAGACCGATCTGGCATCCATAAGCTGCTTTGAGCACCACTATCGGTTATGTACAAAATATTGCTCACACAGGGGCAGGGAGCTTGCCCTGCCGCTTCCAGTGTGCGCTGTGGTGCTCTACAGAGATCTCAACAGCGTGGGGGCTGCCCATGATCGTCCTCTGCCTTTCCGCCTGCTCTAAATGCCTGCCGGACCTGGTCGTCTGTCATGTCTGCGTCCTCATGTTGCCCATCTCCGCACTTCCACCTTTACATATGCGTCCATACTCCCCACGCCGCCGCCTGTGGCCCTCGAACCGATTGGCCATTGCTCCGCTGGGCCCTTGCTCCGCTGGGCCCTTGCTCTGCTGGGCCCTTGCTCTGCTGGGCCCTTGCTCCGCTGGGCCCTTGCTCCGCTGGGCCCTTGCTCCGCTGGGTCCTTGCTCCGCTGGGCCCTTGCTCCGCTGGGCCCTTGCTCCGCTGGGCCCTTGCTCCGCTGGGCCCTTGCCCCAGCTCTCCTTCCCTTTGCTATGACAACAAGCTGGGGAGCGCTAGGTAAAACGATGCAATTTAAAAACCACACACTAAAACTAAACTCCTAAAATCAGTCTCTGTGTGACGAAGTCTTACATATTGGTAACACTGACTATTGATTTCCAATATGCTAAGAACCACAGAATGAAATGAATAACTAATGATATCTGAAAGATTTGTTCTACCATGGTGCAGCAGCAATATTTGTCAAGTATTATGTGAGAATTACCAAGAAGACCAAAGGGCAGCAAGAAATACAAAATCAGGTGCAAAAATATTATAAATGCTAAATAACTAGGAAAATGAGACACATTCAGGCTGTTTTATGTTCCCAAATGTGTGTGTTGTGTTCTTAGGTGGTGATGCGTCCAGAGCAGACTGTTGAAGAGGGACAACAGGTGAGATTACATAATTCTACTTCACATAAATGGTTTTATTTGACACTGTAAAAATTATGTGTGTTCTGATTTTAAGGTTGCCCACAGTCTGATGGAGCAGCTAGGAGTTTCTGAGGAGAGTTTGGTCACTGGAGCATACATGGATCTGATATTAAAAGGAAGCATTGAAGCCTAAGTTTTGAGTGTTTTGCTATGAATGTTTTGTAGTGATGTATGTAGATTTAGAGTTTTTAATAAAAAAAAAAGTAAAACATGACTTAAGTAATTATTCTTTGCACCCTTGGCACATATAATTTGATAGCTACAACAGAAAATGAATGGTAATTAATTGGATTAATGTAGATTTTACATGATACAGGGAAATGTAGACATATCTTTAAATTATTGTATGTAATCTTAAAGTTGTAGTTGAAGCTGAGATCAGGCTTTGACAAGCCGGTATGACTTTCCTCAATGATTAGCCAATCCTCAGTCAGCAAAAGCCGGGGCTTTGTAACAGTGATTCAAATTCAAAGTGTTAAAAGTTCAAAGTTTTAAATTAAGACTGAATTTCTTTCCATAAGGTAAAAAAATGCAATTGAATCAAAAATTCAGTATCAGTATGAGGAAAGATATTGTGATTCTCCTTTCTTGCTCACCCAATTCCAAACTGGACATATCTCCAGCTTAAGAGCATTCAGTAAATTGTGAATGGAATTCTGGATCTTGAAAACTAGATCGGATGTATACTGCAGAAATGTGAATGGGAAGGTGGAAGTGTCCTTAATGTTTCTCTATTGCTAGATAGTGGATTTCATCCTCAGAGCAACTGTCAAACTAAAATACATAATACATATACAATACATAGTATTAACATTTGAATGTTAATATTTTGATCAATAATGAATCTGCTACTTATATGTGACGTGAAAACATGCAAAACCCATCCACTTGCCATGTCTTTTCCTTTTCGTCTCTGGGAGATATGTGATATTGTAATGCTCCAAAACACACATCTGTTAAAAATATGTAAACTAAGTGCATTGCACAGGCAGCAGAAGACCCTGTCATTGATGATGGTAGTGACTTTTGCTAGTGCATGGTTGCCATGGCGATGTCGGGCCGCTCCTCCACTCCCACGCTGCTGCTTACCCCTCTCTCTCGCGAAGCCATCGAGAGAGAGGTGTGTTTTCTAACCCACGCATTGGAGTGGGAGACTACGTGCGCATTCTGTTGTGCACACGCACACACACACAGCAGTGTGTGTCATGCTACAGTGTGTGGGCTGAACCAAGCAGCCTTCCACTCATCCTCTCTCTGTCGCTCATTCCCTCTGTCTGCAGATACACCTCTTCTGTTTCTTCTCCCCCTCTCCATCAAGTCATCTCTCCTTCTCTTTCACCCCTTCTTTTTCCTCCTAACTCAGTCATCTTTTGCTTCGCCTTATAATGGAGGGGAGTTGCTGATTTTCTGGGTGAGTGTCTGCGATTTTCAATCTATTCTGTCTGTATACTGTATTGGTGTTAGAAAAGGAGCTACATGCATGCACTTGGGTTTATGTGTCTGACAGTAACTTTGACAATGTTGTTATTACTTGTACCTCTTGAGTCTGCCTCCTTGATCCCATTTTTGCCTCCAACAGACTTGTATTGATCCTAAAGTAATCCCTGTCCTTTTTTTCTTATATCCACCAGTTTCCTCCGATCTTAATGTCTTCTTCCTTGTCTACCCCCTCTTGCTTTTCCTCTCTCTCCCTGGGTTGGCGTTATTTCCTGTTTCAGTTTCCCTCCAGCAGCACTTTACCATCCTCT